GACACAAACTCAAACTCAAACTCCTCATATCCTCTGAGTAGTTCTAGAAGCGAGTTAAATTCACAGGTCGGGATTAGCTCTCAAAAGTCAGTCCTTCAGGAGTGAAAAGAGGGATCCCTAAGGCGAGGCACGACACTGTCGCGACTCAAAAGTGCGAGGCAACGGCGCTAAGGCCTTGCCTTGTGTGCTGCCGTGCTGCCATCCTTATCAACCACGGCATACGTGGTCTCTGCGCCCTCTCGCGTACGACGTACTATCTCGCGTTCTCCCTCTCCTCGCAGCGCTGTGTCTCTCCGTCATACTACGGCCGGCCTCCTAAGGGAATTTTAGTGTTTTCTATGGTGCTTTTTGCTTTTTCTCCTCACTAATGTTCCTCATTGCACTCCTTGCCTAATGTTTAAACAAAATAACGCATCAATTCAATTTCGACTCGTGCCTTTAAGGCAAATATCATGGAAAGCAAAAAAAAATCGAAGGAAAATGAGTGAAATGAAATTTGCCGCTGTCATAAGCTCTGCATTAAACTACATGACATGCTCTCTCTTGTTAGCAGCAAGTGTCACGTTGCGAGAGCGCTGCATTTTCTGATGCTCAGATTCACTCAAAACCCACATATAGTACATTGACAAGGTAGTCAAAAATGAAATTTATCATCGGAATGGAATCAATTGAACTGCTATATTCAAGCCGAGTGCTTCCAACTCAAGATTTGAGGGCGAATCCTGAACTATCGAGAAGAATAGTTGCCTTTCAAAGTGAATCGAAAGCAGTTGAAATAAGAAGGTGATGCACGGAGCTCAACAAGGTCCGTGACGTATCGTGGATCACTGCGACATTACCTAAAACGCTAGGCCGAAACGGTCTTGCAAAAGCAAGATTCAGGAGATTGAAATATTATTGCTGCTCCGGACTGGAGCTTGGTGAACCTCTTTCAGCTCGACGGCGGAAAGCGATGATGGCATTTTTTCAAGGCTGCAAGGCAGTGAGAGGGCCATGCCTCTGCTCATGGAGCAATATTCTACTGCAACCGTTCCTTAACAGCGGCCTGCACCGCAAAAAGTGCTGATGTGCGTCATGTGTAACAGGTGTTTTTCTTGTCCTCTCCCTTTGTATACCGTACCTATTAAACGTTGAACAATGTTTGGACAGGATTAGCGACCCCTGTGAGTAGCCATACGGTATATCTCTTACTAATACCTCAAATTTGGTGACCAATCTACAAAAATTCAAACCTTAAAAAATAAAAATAAATAGTGCGACGAATAATACCAAGCTAGCATTCAACAGTTGGGCAAAATACGTCTAAAATGACGTGAAAAGCCAATGGGGAAGTAAACATATGAAAGATTATTAAAGCAAATTGAAAGCCAAAGAAGAAAAAAAAGCTAAATTTCACCCATGCATATGATACTTCTAGGCACCGCGAAACGATACACTGATAAGAAATACAGCATTGATATAATAGATTAACCAGATCAAAACGAATTTTAAGTTTCTCTACACCCTACGAGGAACAGTGAAAAAGAAGGAAATAATTCGAACCTCATAAAACAAGCGTAGAAGGAAGGCGAAGCTGTTTTATGTTTGATATGGATCACATTTGTGCTTTGAATCAAACATAGACAGCTTACAGCCCTAATTGGACTCCAAATCAATGAGGTATGCAACTTTGAAGCCTCGCTTTGACGAAGTTTATATGCTTCATTTAACTAAGCGCGAAGCTCTTGTGCGTTATGAACTTTGAGAGTAAAAGTTGTCGAAAAAGTTATGATGCGTGTTCTAATTACTAACTTCGTACATTCCTCATTAGGTTGGCTCCACACTCGACATGTATTCGGCTTTGGAAACGTTTCACTCAATTGTAAGACATTCATGATACGGCACGTGCCTCTCGAGCATTTTTTTTATTCTTGCACCCATTTCCTTTGGCATTTTCATTTTCAACTTACAAATTTTTTACACATAAAAAGCCCAAGAGGAGAAGACTGGGAGAACTAGGTGGAGGAATTTTGGAGCTGTTCTTGCATTGCAAAATTCAAATTATTATATTTAACAGAAATAATGCAGGCTCTGTAATGCCACGTTCAGGACCTGTATTCGGAAAGCATGGCTACGATCCAAGCCCCTCTTG